TTGGTGCATATTCGTTTGCACGTCATCCTGTCGTCTGTTCGCATCATTTCGTTGCATGTGTTTTGTGTGCTACATTGTTTGTGTGGTTTGTTGGGTTTGCATGTCTTTGCATGTTCATCTTGTGCTTGTGCAGATGTGCTTGGATTGTGCATGACATCGAGCACATTCCAACGAGCCAAGAATTGTTGGAATCGGAGCACATATGAAGAAGTTACGAAAAATGTTTGATGGATTTGTTACAACTCATTGGAAGTCCTTGTCAGCTGCTACACCAAAGTTGGAGAGCCCTATAACGAGGAGGGACCAGCATGTGTGGGACTTTTGTCCCCACCTTGCAGCTGCAGCATTTGGGGTTTGGAGGCCAACCTGGCACAGTGTGAATTTTGTCTTGCCAGGCTGGCTGAACCTGAGGATGGGGAGTCAAGATTTGACTCTTGTCATGTTCTTGACCAAGGGCCTCCAGGGTCCTTCCCTTTCATCCTTCCCTTCCTCCCCACCTTCCAACTGTGCTTCAATGCCTTTTCCTATCATGCCTCTGAACTTGTAAGCTTCAATCATAGTGACTCTGAGGACTGTCAACTTCTCCTAGGGCAGATTACCCCCAGTGCGCCAAACGCCATAGCTCACTCGAAAGCTACGGAATCGAGTGATTCAACTTTCAGTGGAAAGCTGACGCTGCAAGCTACAACATATCCGATTTTCAGATCGTTTCACCGATTGGAGTTTTGATATAGCTTTCGAAGGTCGCGAGTTTTCTGGGCGTCATAACGAAGTGCTGCAGAAATTTCCAAGGAGCCATTGAATCATCTGCTTATAGCCTTCTCTAACCAACAAGTGGTATCAGAGCCTTATCACGCATTTGGGACCTAAAATACGATGGGAGATAAGGAGGACTCTGGTGGAGGTGATACTTCAGTCCAAGGAGGCAGCTCAACCCAAGATTCTGGCATTGCAGCGCAAAGGGGAGCGCGTACAAGCCAGGGGTCACTGCTTAAGGAGGTGCTGAAGAACTTCACCATTGAGAAGTTCTCTGGAGATGGCTATGATGATTGGGCATGGAAGATGCAGCTCTACTTTCGACAAATTGGCCTCTTGAAGCTCATGATTGGAACGGAGCCAAGGCCAAAGGAAATGGCAGAGCAAGCGGACTGGGATGAACGTTCATCTGCTGGGTATTATCTACTGTCACAAAGCTTGGAGCTGAACCAGAGGCATCACATCATGCATCTGCTACCGGAAATGATTGTGGGCCCAAGGCATGGGCAGTGCTCAAGGACCTGCACGCTCCGACATCGGTTGCCGCTTCTCTCATGCTGGATCGGGAGCTGTCCATGCTGCGGTTGAGCGAGAATGAACCTGTGCAGCCCGTACTGGACAAGATGAGGGAACTCTACGCGAAATTGGCGATTGCGGCATCACGTACCCAGAGCAGACAAGTGTCTCAAGATGCTCAGCCTGCTGCCGGAGTCTTGGCTGCAATTTATAAGCGGACTCAGCTTGCCACAAAACCAAAGTCAATGGACATTGGAGTGGATTCGCACCAAGATTCTGGAAGAAGATTTTCGTCGCTATACACTGCGCGGAGGTGATGACAGCACCAGCGGCTATGCCATGCAAGGGACATGGAGGGATCGAGGGCGTGGCAATCGCGGTCGCTCTTACTACACAAGGTGGTCGCGGGACTTGGAACCAGCGGGGGCGTGGTGGCGCTGGTGCAAGAGGAAGAGGTGGTCACTCCAACAATGACAACAGTGAACCACGCTTGAGGGGAGAGTGCTGGTATTGCAAGGAAGAAGGGCATCCATGGTTTCGCTGCTCTACCAAGCCCGACTGGTGGACCCCTTGGAACCAATCGCAAAGGGGAATGGAGGAAAGCAACCACATGGAGGTGCCAACATGGTAGCTGATCCTGCTGAAGAAACCTCCAAGGATGACAGAGGAATGGGAATGAGGGAGAGGAATGCTGGACAGTTCTACCATGTGTGTGACAAAGATGACAGTGGCACAGCTGTTGCAAGGGCTGGAGAGGAATTGCACCCGCTTGACATGTGGGTCATGGACTCTGGTGCTGCCTGGACAATGACACCACGCAAAGACTTGCTGGATGCTGTGCGAGCGCCTCCAATCTCCGAAGTGCGCTCAGCATCCGGACATGCAGTGAAGGTCGCTGGAGTTGGTCGAGCTGCATTCAGAGCACCTGATGGTGGACTGGTTGTGCTGAAGGACGTGTTACTCGTACCGGGGCTGAAGGCCAATCTGATATCGCTGCGCAAGCTAGGCCAGGCCGGAGTCAGCACCACCACCAATGGATCCAAAACATTCAAGGGGCTGCGAGGAGATCGTGTGCTATGGGATTTACACGAAAGCAGAGATGTCTTGAGATCCATGTGGCAGATCCCTGCACTGATATGGGAATCAACAAAGAAGGAGGTGGGAGCAGTAAAGGCGGGATCTGGAGTCCAGGGGGAGTGCAATGCAGTTAGTGCTGCAGGAGTGATAGTTTCTGCAAGGTTGGGGGAGACTGATTGGGAAACCGCACACAGGCGTCTAGGGCATGTGGCCATGCCATTGCTGCAGCAACTGCATAAGGAAGAAGCAGTAAAGGGGCTGAAGCTTTCTGGGCAACCAAATGATACCAAGTGCGAGACGTGTCTGCTGAGCAAGTTCACACGGTTCCCCTTTCACGGCGTAGCTGGGAAAAGCAAGGCAGCACTGGAACTGGTGCACATGGACCTGGTAGGACCTTTCCAGTTCAAGGAAAGAAGGGGGAAAGATACTTCCTAACAATAGTTGATGACTGGAGTCGGCTGATGTGGGTATACCCGTTGAAGCAGAAGGATCATGCTGCCTCAACAATACGAGATGACTGGCTCCCGTTCGTCGAGCGACAATCTGGGCACCCATGCAAGAGCATCAGAACCGACCGAGGTGGAGAGTTTCTAGGAGGAGATCTGACTGCGTGGCTCAAGAAACAAGGCATTGAGCATCAGCTAACGACGTCCTATACCCCTCAGTCAAATGGCGTTGCTGAGAGGGCTAATAGGACCATCCTGGAAACTGCGCGAGCGCTGCTGATCGAATCAGGGCTGGGAAACTCCATGTGGCCTCATGCGGTGAGGCATGCTACAGTGGCAAGGAACCGCGTACTCATAAAGGTGGCTGATGATATGTGGGTGCCGCTGGAGAGGTGGCTTGGAAAGAAGCCTCCAGTGGACATGCTTAGAGTGTTCGGATGCATGGCTGTGGCGCATGTCCCTAAACCGTACAGGACAAAGCTTGGAGCATCTGCACTGTGGTGTGTGCACCTTGGGCTTGCGGCAGGGAGCAAGGGGTGGCTACTCTGAGAGTCCTCAAAGAATGTGTTGTTTGACGGTCGGGATGTCAAATTTGTGGAGAACATCATATATGGCAAGTGGGAGAAGCAGCCGGAGGCAAGGGTCACTCAGCAGCTGGAAGAGATCACTATGCACTTCGATTTGTCCGAACCTGAGGATAGCGAAGTCACTGCGCAAACGGCAAGCGGTACTGATGAAGGAAGCAATGAGGATATTGCAGCTGATGCTGAAGTCAAGGATCCGGAGCAGCAGCAGCAAGAGGCTTCCAAAACACCAAGTCTGCCAAAGCGAAGGAAACAGATTGGTGGGGGGACAAAGGATTGGGTGAAGGTGAAAGAATGGGTAAATCCAGCCACCTACCCTGCACGTACCAGAATGGCAACGAGAAAGCTGCTGAGCTCTACAAGTGGAGGAGCCACAACTGAGCAACAGCAACAGGCTCAAGGCGAAGATGCAGTGCTGTTCTTGGGTGATGACCAAGAGTCAGATGACGAGGAGCCTGCATACTGCTTTTACGCACCAGTACAACCTCCGAGCATGGATCATGCGCTAGCCGGGCCTCAACGGGGGAAGTGGCTCGTTTCGAGAGATGCAGAGTACAACAGCCAGATGGAGAATCACACATGGGACCTGGTAAACTTGCCAAATGGGAAGAAGGCTATACAGTGCAAGTGGCTGGCAAAAATCAAGACGGATGAGAAAGGAGAGCCATCAGTTTACAAGAGCAGGCTGGTGGCAAAGGGGTTTCAGCAGAAAGAGAAGGAAGACTACAAAGAAGTGTTTGCTCCAACTGCTAAGTCTCCAACGCTACGTGTGCTGCTGGCGGTAGCTGCTGTGCGCAAATGGAAGATGAAGCAGATGGACATCGTAACCGCTTTTCTGTACGGCATAGTGGAAGAGGAGGTGTACATGGTTCAACCACCTGGCTATGAGGATGGAACCGGTCGTGTCTGCAAACTCAACAAGGCCATCTATGGCTTGAAGCAGGCCCCGAGATGCTGGTACAACAGGCTGGCCAGTGCATTGGAAGGGATTGGATTCCGTGCGAGTGCATGCGACGAGAGCCTATTCCTGATGGGCGAGGGGGAGTCGCTTGTGCTTCTGCTGGTGTACGTGGATGACATCCTGCTCTTCAGCAGCAGTGACAAGGAGATCGATGGAGTGCAGCGGAAGCTCACAGAGCAGTTCGAGTGCAAGTCACTTGGAGAGGCAAGGTACTACCTGGGAATGCACATTGAGCGGGATACTGAACGTGGCTGGCTCAAACTGCATCAGGGACAGTACATCAACACCTTCGCTGAGAAGTACTCTCTGCAGGAAGAACGGGAAGTGGTTACACCTTTGCCTTCCGAGTTCAAACTCATAAAGGCAGCTGAAGGAGAAGGAGTTGAAAGTGAAGACCAGAGGCAATTCCAATCCATGGTCGGGAGCCTACTCTACGCTGCTGTGCATACTCGGCCTGACATCAGCTTTGCTGTGGGACAGCTGGCTCGAGTAGTGCAAAATCCAACAGAAGAGCAGTATGGTGCAGCGGAGAGAGTGGTGCGCTACCTCAAGTCATACCCTACGGTGGGAGTACAGTATTCAGCCTCTGCTCAACTCAGGCAAAAGGGAGTTGAAGTCCTCAAAGAGAAGGGGGAGCAGCTCGGAGAAGGAAAGGTGTTCCTTTCCTATTTTGCTGATGCCACATGGGCTTCTGAGCATGAGGATTCATCATCAGTTGGTGGATACATCTGCATGGTGGGAGGTGGGCCTGTAAGTTGGAGGTCCAAGAAGCAGTCTGAGACGGCACTATCTTCAGTGGAATCTGAGTACATGGCGATGTTTCATGCGGCAAAAGAAATCATCTGGCTAAGGAGGCTCTTGAAGGAGATCGGCCATGAACAGACTTGTGCGACACCTTTGTTCAGTGACAGCAAGGGAGCCATTGCCATGGCACGCAATGCAGTTCTTCATGGGTTGAACAAGCACATGAGGATCAAGTGGCATTGGCTGCGGAAGGAGGTGAAGCTTGGGACACTGGATCCGATCTACGTGAAAACTCAGCAACAGCCAGCCGACTTCCTTACCAAGCGGCTAGCTGAAGAGCCACACTGGCGATGTGCGAGGATGGCGGGAATGTCCTTGAACTAGAGACGGCGAAACAAGCCGACAGTCTGAGGGGGAGTGTGTTGGTGCATATTCGTTTGCACGTCATCTGTCGTCTGTTCGCATCATTCCGTTGCATGTGTTTTGTGTGCTACATTGTTTGTGTGGTTTGTTGGGTTTGCATGTCTTTGCATGTTTATCTTGTGTTTGTGCAGATGTGCTTGGATTGTGCATGGCATCGAGCACATTCCAACGAGCCAAGAATTGTTGGAATCGGAGCACATATGAAGAAGTTACGAAGAGGTGTTTGATGGATTTGTTACAACTCATTGGAAGTCCTTGGCAGCTGCTACACCAAAGTTGGAGAGCCCTATAACGAGGAGGGACCAGCATGTGTGGGGCTTTTGTCCTCACCTTGCAGCTGCAGCATTTGGGGTTTGGAGGCCAACCTGGCACAGTGTGAATTTTGTCTTGCCAGGCTGGCTGAACCTGAGGATGGGGAGTCAAGATTTTGACTCTTGTCATGTTCTTGACCAAGGGCCTCCAGGGTCCTTCCCTTTCATCCTTCCCTTCCATCCCCACCTTCCAACTGTGCTTCAATGCCTTTCCTATCATGCCTCTGAACTTGTAAGCTTCAATCATAGTGATTCTGAGGACTGTCAATTTCTCCTAGGGCAGATTACCCCCCAGTGCGCCAATCGCCATAGCTCACTCGAAAAGCTACGGAATTGAGTGATTCAACTTTCAGTGGAAAGCTGACGCTGCAAGATACAACATATCCGATTTTCAGATTGTTTCACCGATTGGAGTTTTAGATATAGCTTTTCGAAGGTCGCGAGTTTTCTGGGCGTCATAACGAAGTGCTGCAGAAATTTCCAAGGAGCCATTGAATCATCTGCTTATAGCCTTCTCTAACCAACAAGTGGTATCAGAGCCCATTATCAAGCATTCGGGACCTAAAATACGATGGGAGATAAGGAGGACTCTGGTGGAGGTGATACTTCAGTCCAAGGAGGCAGCTCAACCCAAGATTCTGGCATTGCAGCGCAAAGGGGAGCGCGTACAAGCCAGGGGTCACTGCTTAAGGAGGTGCTGAAGAACTTCACCATTGAGAAGTTCTTTGGAGATGGCTATGATGATTGGGCATGGAAGATGCAGCTCTACTTTCGACAAATTGGCCTCTTGAAGCTCATGATTGGAACGGAGCCCAGGCCAAAGGAAATGGCAGAGCGAGCGGACTGGGATGAACGTTCATCTGCTGGGTATTATCTACTGTCACAAAGCTTGGAGCTGAACCAGAGGCATCACATCATGCATCTGCTGCCGGAAACTGATTGTGGGCCCAAGGCATGGGCAGTGCTCAAGGACCTGCACGCTCCGACATCGGTTGCCGCTTCTCTCATGCTGGATCGGGAGCTGTCCATGCTGCGGTTGAGCGAGAATGAACCTGTGCAGCCCGTACTGGACAAGATGAGGGAACTCTACGCGAAATTGGCGATTGCTGGCATCACGTACCCCGAGCAGACTAAGTGTCTCAAGATGCTCAGCCTGCTGCCCGAGTCTTGGCTGCAATTTATAAGCGGACTCAGCTTGCCACAAAACCAAAGTCAATGGACATTGGAGTGGATTCGCACCAAGATTCTGGAAGAAGATTTTCGTCGCTATACACTCCGTGGAGGTGATGACAGCACCAGCGGCTATGCCATGCAAGGGACATGGAGAGATCGAGGGCGTGGCAATCGCGGTCGCTCTTACTACAACCAAGGTGGTCGCGGGACTTGGAACCAGCGGGGGCGTGGTGGCGCTGGTGCAAGAGGAAGAGGTGGTCACTCCAACAATGACAACAGTGAACCACGCTTGAGGGGAGAGTGCTGGTATTGCAAGGAAGAAGGGCATCCATGGTTTCGCTGCTCTACCAAGCCCGACTGGTGGACCCCTTGGAACCAATCGCAAAAGGGGAATGGAGGAAAGCAACCACATGGAGGTGCCAACATGGTAGCTGATCCTGCTGAAGAAACCTCCAAGGATGACAGAGGAATGGGAAATGAGGAGAGGAATGCTGGACAGTTCTACCATGTGTGTGACAAAGATGACAGTGGCACAGCTGTTGCAAGGGCTGGAGAGGAATTGCACCCGCTTGACATGTGGGTCATGGACTCTGGTGCTGCCTGGACAATGACACCACGCAAAGACTTGCTGGATGCTGTGCGAGCGCCTCCAATCTCCGAAGTGCGCTCAGCATCCGGACATGCAGTGAAGGTCGCTGGAGTTGGTCGAGCTGCATTCAGAGCACCTGATGGTGGACTGGTTGTGCTGAAGGACGTGTTACTCGTACCGGGGCTGAAGGCCAATCTGATATCGCTGCGCAAGCTAGGCCAGGCCGGAGTCAGCACCACCACCAATGGATCCAAAACATTCAAGGGGCTGCGAGGAGATCGTGTGCTATGGGATTTACACGAAAGCAGAGATGTCTTGAGATCCATGTGGCAGATCCCTGCGCTGATATGGGAATCAACAAAGAAGGAGGTGGGAGCAGTAAAGGCGGGATCTGGAGTCCAGGGGGAGTGCAATGCAGTTAGTGCTGCAGGAGTGATAGTTTCTGCAAGGTTGGGGGAGACTGATTGGGAAACCGCACACAGGCGTCTAGGGCATGTGGCCATGCCATTGCTGCAGCAACTGCATAAGGAAGAAGCAGTAAAGGGGCTGAAGCTTTCTGGGCAACCAAATGATACCAAGTGCGAGACGTGTCTGCTGAGCAAGTTCACACGGTTCCCCTTTCACGGCGTAGCTGGGAAAAGCAAGGCAGCACTGGAACTGGTGCACATGGACCTGGTAGGACCTTTCCAGTTCAAGGAAAGAAGGGGGAAAGATACTTCCTAACAATAGTTGATGACTGGAGTCGGCTGATGTGGGTATACCCGTTGAAGCAGAAGGATCATGCTGCCTCAACAATACGAGATGACTGGCTCCCGTTCGTCGAGCGACAATCTGGGCACCCATGCAAGAGCATCAGAACCGACCGAGGTGGAGAGTTTCTAGGAGGAGATCTGACTGCGTGGCTCAAGAAACAAGGCATTGAGCATCAGCTAACGACGTCCTATACCCCTCAGTCAAATGGCGTTGCTGAGAGGGCTAATAGGACCATCCTGGAAACTGCGCGAGCGCTGCTGATCGAATCAGGGCTGGGAAACTCCATGTGGCCTCATGCGGTGAGGCATGCTACAGTGGCAAGGAACCGCGTACTCATAAAGGTGGCTGATGATATGTGGGTGCCGCTGGAGAGGTGGCTTGGAAAGAAGCCTCCAGTGGACATGCTTAGAGTGTTCGGATGCATGGCTGTGGCGCATGTCCCTAAACCGTACAGGACAAAGCTTGGAGCATCTGCACTGTGGTGTGTGCACCTTGGGCTTGCGGCAGGGAGCAAGGGGTGGCTACTCTGAGAGTCCTCAAAGAATGTGTTGTTTGACGGTCGGGATGTCAAATTTGTGGAGAACATCATATATGGCAAGTGGGAGAAGCAGCCGGAGGCAAGGGTCACTCAGCAGCTGGAAGAGATCACTATGCACTTCGATTTGTCCGAACCTGAGGATAGCGAAGTCACTGCGCAAACGGCAAGCGGTACTGATGAAGGAAGCAATGAGGATATTGCAGCTGATGCTGAAGTCAAGGATCCGGAGCAGCAGCAGCAAGAGGCTTCCAAAACACCAAGTCTGCCAAAGCGAAGGAAACAGATTGGTGGGGGGACAAAGGATTGGGTGAAGGTGAAAGAATGGGTAAATCCAGCCACCTACCCTGCACGTACCAGAATGGCAACGAGAAAGCTGCTGAGCTCTACAAGTGGAGGAGCCACAACTGAGCAACAGCAACAGGCTCAAGGCGAAGATGCAGTGCTGTTCTTGGGTGATGACCAAGAGTCAGATGACGAGGAGCCTGCATACTGCTTTTACGCACCAGTACAACCTCCGAGCATGGATCATGCGCTAGCCGGGCCTCAACGGGGGAAGTGGCTCGTTTCGAGAGATGCAGAGTACAACAGCCAGATGGAGAATCACACATGGGACCTGGTAAACTTGCCAAATGGGAAGAAGGCTATACAGTGCAAGTGGCTGGCAAAAATCAAGACGGATGAGAAAGGAGAGCCATCAGTTTACAAGAGCAGGCTGGTGGCAAAGGGGTTTCAGCAGAAAGAGAAGGAAGACTACAAAGAAGTGTTTGCTCCAACTGCTAAGTCTCCAACGCTACGTGTGCTGCTGGCGGTAGCTGCTGTGCGCAAATGGAAGATGAAGCAGATGGACATCGTAACCGCTTTTCTGTACGGCATAGTGGAAGAGGAGGTGTACATGGTTCAACCACCTGGCTATGAGGATGGAACCGGTCGTGTCTGCAAACTCAACAAGGCCATCTATGGCTTGAAGCAGGCCCCGAGATGCTGGTACAACAGGCTGGCCAGTGCATTGGAAGGGATTGGATTCCGTGCGAGTGCATGCGACGAGAGCCTATTCCTGATGGGCGAGGGGGAGTCGCTTGTGCTTCTGCTGGTGTACGTGGATGACATCCTGCTCTTCAGCAGCAGTGACAAGGAGATCGATGGAGTGCAGCGGAAGCTCACAGAGCAGTTCGAGTGCAAGTCACTTGGAGAGGCAAGGTACTACCTGGGAATGCACATTGAGCGGGATACTGAACGTGGCTGGCTCAAACTGCATCAGGGACAGTACATCAACACCTTCGCTGAGAAGTACTCTCTGCAGGAAGAACGGGAAGTGGTTACACCTTTGCCTTCCGAGTTCAAACTCATAAAGGCAGCTGAAGGAGAAGGAGTTGAAAGTGAAGACCAGAGGCAATTCCAATCCATGGTCGGGAGCCTACTCTACGCTGCTGTGCATACTCGGCCTGACATCAGCTTTGCTGTGGGACAGCTGGCTCGAGTAGTGCAAAATCCAACAGAAGAGCAGTATGGTGCAGCGGAGAGAGTGGTGCGCTACCTCAAGTCATACCCTACGGTGGGAGTACAGTATTCAGCCTCTGCTCAACTCAGGCAAAAGGGAGTTGAAGTCCTCAAAGAGAAGGGGGAGCAGCTCGGAGAAGGAAAGGTGTTCCTTTCCTATTTTGCTGATGCCACATGGGCTTCTGAGCATGAGGATTCATCATCAGTTGGTGGATACATCTGCATGGTGGGAGGTGGGCCTGTAAGTTGGAGGTCCAAGAAGCATTCTGAGACGGCACTATCTTCAGTGGAATCTGAGTACATGGCGATGTTTCATGCGGCAAAAGAAATCATCTGGCTAAGGAGGCTCTTGAAGGAGATCGGCCATGAACAGACTTGTGCGACACCTTTGTTCAGTGACAGCAAGGGAGCCATTGCCATGGCACGCAATGCAGTTCTTCATGGGTTGAACAAGCACATGAGGATCAAGTGGCATTGGCTGCGGAAGGAGGTGAAGCTTGGGACACTGGATCCGATCTACGTGAAAACTCAGCAACAGCCAGCCGACTTCCTTACCAAGCGGCTAGCTGAAGAGCCACACTGGCGATGTGCGAGGATGGCGGGAATGTCCTTGAACTAGAGACGGCGAAACAAGCCGACAGTCTGAGGGGGAGTGTGTTGGTGCATATTCGTTTGCACGTCATCTGTCGTCTGTTCGCATCATTCCGTTGCATGTGTTTTGTGTGCTACATTGTTTGTGTGGTTTGTTGGGTTTGCATGTCTTTGCATGTTTATCTTGTGTTTGTGCAGATGTGCTTGGATTGTGCATGGCATCGAGCACATTCCAACGAGCCAAGAATTGTTGGAATCGGAGCACATATGAAGAAGTTACGAAGAGGTGTTTGATGGATTTGTTACAACTCATTGGAAGTCCTTGGCAGCTGCTACACCAAAGTTGGAGAGCCCTATAACGAGGAGGGACCAGCATGTGTGGGGCTTTTGTCCTCACCTTGCAGCTGCAGCATTTGGGGTTTGGAGGCCAACCTGGCACAGTGTGAATTTTGTCTTGCCAGGCTGGCTGAACCTGAGGATGGGGAGTCAAGATTTTGACTCTTGTCATGTTCTTGACCAAGGGCCTCCAGGGTCCTTCCCTTTCATCCTTCCCTTCCATCCCCACCTTCCAACTGTGCTTCAATGCCTTTCCTATCATGCCTCTGAACTTGTAAGCTTCAATCATAGTGATTCTGAGGACTGTCAATTTCTCCTAGGGCAGATTACCCCCCAGTGCGCCAATCGCCATAGCTCACTCGAAAAGCTACGGAATTGAGTGATTCAACTTTCAGTGGAAAGCTGACGCTGCAAGCTACAACATATCCGATTTTCAGATTGTTTCACCGATTGGAGTTTTAGATATAGCTTTTCGAAGGTCGCGAGTTTTCTGGGCGTCATAACGAAGTGCTGCAGAAATTTCCAAGGAGCCATTGAATCATCTGCTTATAGCCTTCTCTAACCAACAAGTGGTATCAGAGCCCATTATCAAGCATTTGGGACCTAAAATACGATGGGAGATAAGGAGGACTCTGGTGGAGGTGATACTTCAGTCCAAGGAGGCAGCTCAACCCAAGATTCTGGCATTGCAGCGCAAAGGGGAGCGCGTACAAGCCAGGGGTCACTGCTTAAGGAGGTGCTGAAGAACTTCACCATTGAGAAGTTCTTTGGAGATGGCTATGATGATTGGGCATGGAAGATGCAGCTCTACTTTCGACAAATTGGCCTCTTGAAGCTCATGATTGGAACGGAGCCCAGGCCAAAGGAAATGGCAGAGCGAGCGGACTGGGATGAACGTTCATCTGCTGGGTATTATCTACTGTCACAAAGCTTGGAGCTGAACCAGAGGCATCACATCATGCATCTGCTGCCGGAAACTGATTGTGGGCCCAAGGCATGGGCAGTGCTCAAGGACCTGCACGCTCCGACATCGATTGCCGCTTCTCTCATGGTGGATCGGGAGCTGTCCATGCTGCGGTTGAGCGAGAATGAACCTGTGCAGCCCGTACTGGACAAGATGAGGGAACTCTACGCGAAATTGGCGATTGCTGGCATCACGTACCCCGAGCAGACTAAGTGTCTCAAGATGCTCAGCCTGCTGCCCGAGTCTTGGCTGCAATTTATAAGCGGACTCAGCTTGCCACAAAACCAAAGTCAATGGACATTGGAGTGGATTCGCACCAAGATTCTGGAAGAAGATTTTCGTCGCTATACACTGCGCGGAGGTGATGACAGCACCAGCGGCTATGCCATGCAAGGGACATGGAGGGATCGAGGGCGTGGCAATCGCGGTCGCTCTTACTACAACCAAGGTGGTCGCGGGACTTGGAACCAGCAGGGGCGTGGTGGCGCTGGTGCAAGAGGAAGAGGTGGTCACTCCAACAATGACAACAGTGAACCACGCTTGAGGGGAGAGTGCTGGTATTGCAAGGAAGAAGGGCATCCATGGTTTCGCTGCTCTACCAAGCCCGACTGGTGGACCCCTTGGAACCAATCGCAAAAGGGGAATGGAGGAAAGCAACCACATGGAGGTGCCAACATGGTAGCTGATCCTGCTGAAGAAACCTCCAAGGATGACAGAGGAATGGGAAATGAGGAGAGGAATGCTGGACAGTTCTACCATGTGTGTGACAAAGATGACAGTGGCACAGCTGTTGCAAGGGCTGGAGAGGAATTGCACCCGCTTGACATGTGGGTCATGGACTCTGGTGCTGCCTGGACAATGACACCACGCAAAGACTTGCTGGATGCTGTGCGAGCGCCTCCAATCTCCGAAGTGCGCTCAGCATCCGGACATGCAGTGAAGGTCGCTGGAGTTGGTCGAGCTGCATTCAGAGCACCTGATGGTGGACTGGTTGTGCTGAAGGACGTGTTACTCGTACCGGGGCTGAAGGCCAATCTGATATCGCTGCGCAAGCTAGGCCAGGCCGGAGTCAGCACCACCACCAATGGATCCAAAACATTCAAGGGGCTGCGAGGAGATCGTGTGCTATGGGATTTACACGAAAGCAGAGATGTCTTGAGATCCATGTGGCAGATCCCTGCGCTGATATGGGAATCAACAAAGAAGGAGGTGGGAGCAGTAAAGGCGGGATCTGGAGTCCAGGGGGAGTGCAATGCAGTTAGTGCTGCAGGAGTGATAGTTTCTGCAAGGTTGGGGGAGACTGATTGGGAAACCGCACACAGGCGTCTAGGGCATGTGGCCATGCCATTGCTGCAGCAACTGCATAAGGAAGAAGCAGTAAAGGGGCTGAAGCTTTCTGGGCAACCAAATGATACCAAGTGCGAGACGTGTCTGCTGAGCAAGTTCACACGGTTCCCCTTTCACGGCGTAGCTGGGAAAAGCAAGGCAGCACTGGAACTGGTGCACATGGACCTGGTAGGACCTTTCCAGTTCAAGGAAAGAAGGGGGAAAGATACTTCCTAACAATAGTTGATGACTGGAGTCGGCTGATGTGGGTATACCCGTTGAAGCAGAAGGATCATGCTGCCTCAACAATACGAGATGACTGGCTCCCGTTCGTCGAGCGACAATCTGGGCACCCATGCAAGAGCATCAGAACCGACCGAGGTGGAGAGTTTCTAGGAGGAGATCTGACTGCGTGGCTCAAGAAACAAGGCATTGAGCATCAGCTAACGACGTCCTATACCCCTCAGTCAAATGGCGTTGCTGAGAGGGCTAATAGGACCATCCTGGAAACTGCGCGAGCGCTGCTGATCGAATCAGGGCTGGGAAACTCCATGTGGCCTCATGCGGTGAGGCATGCTACAGTGGCAAGGAACCGCGTACTCATAAAGGTGGCTGATGATATGTGGGTGCCGCTGGAGAGGTGGCTTGGAAAGAAGCCTCCAGTGGACATGCTTAGAGTGTTCGGATGCATGGCTGTGGCGCATGTCCCTAAACCGTACAGGACAAAGCTTGGAGCATCTGCACTGTGGTGTGTGCACCTTGGGCTTGCGGCAGGGAGCAAGGGGTGGCTACTCTGAGAGTCCTCAAAGAATGTGTTGTTTGACGGTCGGGATGTCAAATTTGTGGAGAACATCATATATGGCAAGTGGGAGAAGCAGCCGGAGGCAAGGGTCACTCAGCAGCTGGAAGAGATCACTATGCACTTCGATTTGTCCGAACCTGAGGATAGCGAAGTCACTGCGCAAACGGCAAGCGGTACTGATGAAGGAAGCAATGAGGATATTGCAGCTGATGCTGAAGTCAAGGATCCGGAGCAGCAGCAGCAAGAGGCTTCCAAAACACCAAGTCTGCCAAAGCGAAGGAAACAGATTGGTGGGGGGACAAAGGATTGGGTGAAGGTGAAAGAATGGGTAAATCCAGCCACCTACCCTGCACGTACCAGAATGGCAACGAGAAAGCTGCTGAGCTCTACAAGTGGAGGAGCCACAACTGAGCAACAGCAACAGGCTCAAGGCGAAGATGCAGTGCTGTTCTTGGGTGATGACCAAGAGTCAGATGACGAGGAGCCTGCATACTGCTTTTACGCACCAGTACAACCTCCGAGCATGGATCATGCGCTAGCCGGGCCTCAACGGGGGAAGTGGCTCGTTTCGAGAGATGCAGAGTACAACAGCCAGATGGAGAATCACACATGGGACCTGGTAAACTTGCCAAATGGGAAGAAGGCTATACAGTGCAAGTGGCTGGCAAAAATCAAGACGGATGAGAAAGGAGAGCCATCAGTTTACAAGAGCAGGCTGGTGGCAAAGGGGTTTCAGCAGAAAGAGAAGGAAGACTACAAAGAAGTGTTTGCTCCAACTGCTAAGTCTCCAACGCTACGTGTGCTGCTGGCGGTAGCTGCTGTGCGCAAATGGAAGATGAAGCAGATGGACATCGTAACCGCTTTTCTGTACGGCATAGTGGAAGAGGAGGTGTACATGGTTCAACCACCTGGCTATGAGGATGGAACCGGTCGTGTCTGCAAACTCAACAAGGCCATCTATGGCTTGAAGCAGGCCCCGAGATGCTGGTACAACAGGCTGGCCAGTGCATTGGAAGGGATTGGATTCCGTGCGAGTGCATGCGACGAGAGCCTATTCCTGATGGGCGAGGGGGAGTCGCTTGTGCTTCTGCTGGTGTACGTGGATGACATCCTGCTCTTCAGCAGCAGTGACAAGGAGATCGATGGAGTGCAGCGGAAGCTCACAGAGCAGTTCGAGTGCAAGTCACTTGGAGAGGCAAGGTACTACCTGGGAATGCACATTGAGCGGGATACTGAACGTGGCTGGCTCAAACTGCATCAGGGACAGTACATCAACACCTTCGCTGAGAAGTACTCTCTGCAGGAAGAACGGGAAGTGGTTACACCTTTGCCTTCCGAGTTCAAACTCATAAAGGCAGCTGAAGGAGAAGGAGTTGAAAGTGAAGACCAGAGGCAATTCCAATCCATGGTCGGGAGCCTACTCTACGCTGCTGTGCATACTCGGCCTGACATCAGCTTTGCTGTGGGACAGCTGGCTCGAGTAGTGCAAAATCCAACAGAAGAGCAGTATGGTGCAGCGGAGAGAGTGGTGCGCTACCTCAAGTCATACCCTACGGTGGGAGTACAGTATTCAGCCTCTGCTCAACTCAGGCAAAAGGGAGTTGAAGTCCTCAAAGAGAAGGGGGAGCAGCTCGGAGAAGGAAAGGTGTTCCTTTCCTATTTTGCTGATGCCACATGGGCTTCTGAGCATGAGGATTCATCATCAGTTGGTGGATACATCTGCATGGTGGGAGGTGGGCCTGTAAGTTGGAGGTCCAAGAAGCATTCTGAGACGGCACTATCTTCAGTGGAATCTGAGTACATGGCGATGTTTCATGCGGCAAAAGAAATCATCTGGCTAAGGAGGCTCTTGAAGGAGATCGGCCATGAACAGACTTGTGCGACACCTTTGTTCAGTGACAGCAAGGGAGCCATTGCCATGGCACGCAATGCAGTTCTTCATGGGTTGAACAAGCACATGAGGATCAAGTGGCATTGGCTGCGGAAGGAAGTGAAGCTTGGGACACTGGATCCGATCTACGTGAAAACTCAGCAACAGCCAGCCGACTTCCTTACCAAGCGGCTAGCTGAAGAGCCACACTGGCGATGTGCGAGGATGGCGGGAATGTCCTTGAACTAGAGACGGCGAAACAAGCCGACAGTCTGAGGGGGAGTGTGTTGGTGCATATTCGTTTGCACGTCATCTGTCGTCTGTTCGCATCATTCCGTTGCATGCGTTTTGTGTGCTACATTGTTTGTGTGGTTTGTTGGGTTTGCATGTCTTTGCATGTTTATCTTGTGTTTGTGCAGATGTGCTTGGATTGTGCATGGCATCGAGCACATTCCAACGAGCCAAGAATTGTTGGAATCGGAGCACATATGAAGAAG